TGCGCCGGACTATCTCGGACTGGATTAGCTTCAAGGACTAAGCTGGACTGGCTTAGACTAGACTAAACTGGACTAACTTAGTGAAGCGTTTGGTGCAGTATTGGACTAAGAAGCTGGATAATAACAAATTCTAATATGATTTTATTTAATATATAAATTATTAATATTTTATTATGATCTTATCTTTTTCTCCATCTTTTCCTACCATTTCCGTCCCACTCTTTTCCTCTTCTCTCATCGTCCCACCCTCTCCCTCTTTTTTTCCTCTCAGACCTCTCAATTCATGTCTCTTTCTCATTCCTGGTCAAACTCCTTATTGATTCCAGTCTCTATTTCTCTGTCCTCCCTCCCTCTCTAGCTTTGCGTTGTTCGAACGTAACCTCACGGCTCCAATTTTCCCGACGAGTTGCAAGTTTCCCGATGTGTTTTTTGGCCAACCCTCATTAAATTGGATGAAGTTAGCACCGCCAAAAAATTCATCACCATCCCTGGACCGAGATCTTAGCTTTGCATGCTCGAATCTGTCATGGATTTGAAGAAGCCCAGCAGGCCGAGACTTCCAGGCCATTTTCCGGCCACATTCGACCACATTTTGGCCTCAATTCAAGTAAAATCGTAATCTTGTCACTCCCAGCTTCAATTTGGTATATTTTATATGAAAGTTGGTTATGAAATGGATCTGAAAGAGAGTCGGAAAGTTAATGATTGATCTAGGTGACCGGAGATGACGAGGAGTCTATCGGGAGTGGTCGTTGAGCATGACAAGGACGAGAAATAGAGGACAGTCTTAGCTAGTCCCATGGTTATTGGGGGGTCTCACTAAGACCTCTTAGTGAAGGGTTTTGTCCATGCTAGTCCCCTTTAGTCTCATTAATGTTAGTCCCAGCATGGAACAAACACAGTATTGGACTAATAGCTAGTCCAGTCCAGTCCAGTCTGACTTAGTGAGGGCAAACAAACGCCCCCTTAGCGAAGCCTTTAGTGTAGGCGAGTTGGGCTAGTCTCATTAACACTAGTTCCGGATGATAACAAACACCGGACTAGACTAATAGTTAGTCCAGTCTAGTCTAATGACAATTAGTAAGGGCAAACAAATGCTCCCTTAGAGATTAAGCCTAAATTTGAAATTTCTGTTTAGGTCCACGTCATGCACAAGTCTTCAGATTCTCACCCAACTTCTTATTTCCGTTGAACTGTTCTAAAAAGAAAGAGACCACACCCAATCAGTAAATACCAAAAGTTTAATTCTTGATTTTTTTTTCCACAGAAGCTATTTTTTGAACAAAAATAAATTTTAAAAACCACCCATTTGGGCAAGCATTAGAATTTGTCAAAACTGAAACTCGCCCCTCGGAAAATAAGACCATAAACAACTATACAAGTGAAAAACGAATACGAAAAGAAAAGTGAATAAAAAATGGAATAAACCCTAATTTTGTTATGGGAATGAATCAATGATGGCCCTTATCCTTGTGGGGTCGAGTAGCCAAATAAGGAAATTATTGGTAGCATTTTTTCTCGCATACTAAATTTTGATGTATGCTCATTATACTTCAAATCATCTGTCAAGTGTGTTTTAACTTAATTTTGGCTAATTTTTTTTTCAAAATTAAAAAAGTAATATTTAATGTGTAAGTTAACTAGAATTAAGTGAAATAAATAAATAATTAAATGTATGATCAATGTCCATCATAGTTAAGGCGGTGAGCAAAATGCTTCCGAATCATTTTCAAGTATCCTCGTGTAAAATGATACCTAAGCAGTACTCCGTCAAAAGGAGTCCCAAAAATCCCTCCCCTTTATAAAGCCGAAGCCAACCTCGGCTGGTTGGCTCTGCAATTCTACTCGCACACGTTTATTTGCTTTGTTTTCCTTCGTTTCCTCTCTTTACGCCGTTTCTCTCTTCCTCTCCTCTCTCTCCGAAAAACCAGGAAGAAGGAAATAAGAAACAGAAAAAAAATGGTTGTGGATTCTAATGGAGATTTCAAGTGGAACAGTAATAGTGATGGTAGTGAAGCTTCTGATTCTGCTTCTGAGCGGTCGCAAAATTCGTCTCTGAATTCTAAGAATGCGAAGCGTATCATTGGTTTTGGTTCTTGTTGCGAGCCTTATATCTCAGAAGCTGCAAACAAGAGGCTCAAACAAACTCCAATGGATTCCTACAAAAAGGTTTTTTTGGTTGTTGCACTTGTTTTTGTTTTGATTTTGTTTGTTGGTTTTGCTTTAGTTTTATTTCTTTCAGCCCGATGGATGGATCTTGAATTCTTCATCATTTATTTTTGTGGTGTTTATGCTAGCTAGTTTCTGTTTTTAGGTTGATTTGGCGTTTGCATGGTCTTTTTAAGGTTTTTGTACTTTCTTCCATTTTCAATACTCACTTAAATTAATATTTAAAGTGCAAAGTACATCGTTTGAAATCAATGTAACTACGTTCACGCATTTCTTTGCATGACTTTCTTGATTTATTTTTAACTAAACAGTAATTAATTCCTAATTAATTTTGTTTACTTCCCATTTTCTGCAATGTCTTTCCTATGTAGTGATGCTACCATTTTGCTATATTGTTTTTTAACTTTTTTTTTACTCATTCTTTGCAGGTTCAATTGGCTCAAACTCTTCTAAGTTTAAGTCCTCTTGGTTTGAACCTTGGGGAGACACCTTCTTTCATAGACTTGATTGTACCTGGAAAAATCAAGACTAAGCGTTCGCCCGAAGTTAATCGCAATGCTTTTCAGTTAATGACTGAGAAGGAAAAGTTGAAGGCTTCTAACTTCAGTGCATCGTTTCTCCGAATTGGTTCATGGCAGGTTGGCAAGTTTTAAACAATCCATGACACACTTAATGTGAAGTTGCATAAGTAAATTTTTTTGTTCGATTCTGATTATAGTTTTGTGCAGAGAGTAGCTCACAATGAAGGTGATTTGGTGGCGAAATATTACTACGCAAAGCGAAAACTGGTGTGGGAAATCTTGGATCAGGGTTTGAAGAGCAAGATTGAAGTGCAGTGGTCTAATATTTTGGCAATGAGAGCTGTTATCAAAGAAAATGAGCCCGGCATTCTAGAAATCGAGGTAACTCTTGTTTATCTTCGTGTTCATAACTATTAATTGGACTTGATTTTAATTATGGTAATTTTGTTCTCAGAATCTTGTTAATGTGGTGATGTTTTGCAGCTGAACCAGCCACCTACGTTCCACCGGGAATCGGATCCACAGCCGAGAAAGCATACAATGTGGAATGCGGCATCAGATTTCACCAATGGTCAAGCTCTTATTCACAGGTCCTTATCTTTATTTTCTCTTCACGTTTCTCCTAAACCCTAATTTTTCAGCACTTGAGCTGATGTAGTTTTTCCATATCTTCTGTTCGCAGGAGGCATTATGTTCAATTTCCCCCAGGCGCCCTTGACAAACACTACGAAAAGCTCATACAATGCGAAAACCGGTTTTTAGAGATGAGCCAAAGACCTTTCCCGAGTCAAAGATCTGCTTACTTTCTGTCAGCCTTCCAAATTGGAATTGCAGAATTTTCTTTCAATTTTGATAGACACGGGGCGGAAATCCCCTCCGATCTGCAGTTACCCTTTTCGCCGTGCGTCCAGACACGTTTTGATCCTACTCAACAAGTTCAAACATATGAACAACCCCAGCCAACTCTTAGGATCAAGGATTCAACTTCACCAATATCAGGTACTTTTATTGCTTCCTTCACAAGAAAAGCTTTTATTAGGGCTTCAACTCTTGAGAAGAACAATACACTAATGTTGTTTCCCCAAATATCTTGTGATGATATAGTAACGGATTTTTCTTCGCCTTTAGATGAGGTTATTGGAAGCCAAGCGGTTCAAAATCCAAAAATGCCGGTTTACTGGGATCAAGGAATAACCCGAGAAATGATAAGTTTTGCGGATTTCTTAGGAAGAGAACAACTTCCTAGACTTGTTTCTGTTGCTGGAGCAGCACAAGAAAATCCAACTATTTCTTGTCAAAGCTTCAATGTATATAATCAAGGATTAGGAAGCCCTAATCTTGACTCCCAATGGCTGAGTAATATCGAAAACCAGCTAATGATCGACTTACAAATCAAATTTAGCGAAAAACAAGTCATGCCTCAGGCCAACTCATTCATTTCATTCCCAGAGCAAGTGAATTATGCAGTAGCAGCTGATATAAAGCACCCAGATTATGTACAAGAAATGGCTGACAAACAAAACTTGGTTTCTGGCGCAAATGACCTACTTCAGCCTCAACCGAACAGCTGGGTGATGCCACCACCTCAGCCAGGCAGCTGGGTGGCTGCCCGGAACTCAGGGATACAAATAACCGAGAACAACTCCACGTCTTCGTCGTTCACTCAAAATTTGACTGTGGAAGAATTTGCAACTTACAACAACTTGGCCAACCGCTGGAAATGATTCACAGAGACGAATGAAAGGAAAAACCTACCGGAGATGAGTGTATATTGCCTCAGCTTCATCCCCTGGTTAGGTTAGTTTTTATTTTTGTAGAGAGGGATTAGATAGTCTTAATTCCCAGTTTGTTTAATTTAGTTAGTGCTTACTATTTAACTTTCTGATGGGAATCGATGGCACGTACGGTCAGTTACCAAGTGATGATCTTAAAGCCCAAATAACTTTTTCAAAAACTGCATTTGGGTTTCAGCTTTGGCAATGCTTTTTGTTAAACAATGTAGAGTCCAAGGGATGTTCTTGAAATTTCATCAAGATTGAGCATACAAAATAGGCATTTCCCTAAAAATCTCTCCGATTCCGACTTAACGATTTTGTAATAACCTGCTTAATCCAATTTAATCCGAGTGTAAAAACTTCGACATCCATTGATCATACAAGTTATCCAAATCCACAAAAAATTGCAACAACAACAACAACAACCAATTAGCATTATCGCACGACATAGGATCGGCTGTATGAATCCAAGAACGCCACTGAATCCTAGAATTCATAGAAAGATCGATTATACAAGAATAAATCCTCATCAAATTATCAAATATTAATTGATACTAAACTTCTGTTACACAGGTAGCATGACAATTTTTCTTTTCTGACAAAGTGATTTCTAAACTAATACTCTAATCCGCATGAAGATGAATTCGAATTCAACTAGGTCGACACAATGCCCTAGTCAACGGCCCTAACCCACGTCTGCCACAATGCACAAAATTAGAGAATCTCGAATGTGCAATTTATACACTTCCTACAAAACTAGCCAAAGAATTGCAAACAAGATTGTCATGAGGAAGCAGTTAGCTCAAGTCTTCAGGACTTGTGATTCTTCAGGCGCAGCAGCTAGAGGTTTATCAGACTTGGCTGCAACTTGATTCTCCTCTCCTTGTCCTTGTGCATTTATCTCACTGTAACTCCTCTTCTTCGACGCGGAATTTGATTTCTCTTTCTCATGTGAATCACTTGCTGCTGCCGTTTCCTTCCCTTTCACCTTCCCTTTCCCTTTCGCTCTTCCTTTCTCTTTTCCTTTCTCCTTGGCATTGCCACTGGCATTGGCATTGGCATTGACATTGCCATTGACATCGGTATTCGGATTGGCACTAGTATTGGCACTGGTATCGGCATTGGCATTTTCTTTCGCATCTGCTGGAGGAGGAAACAGAGGCGGTTCGCGGCCGCTCAATCGACAGAAACCCCCTTCAACAGTTCTGCTGATTTCCTTTCCCAACCCATTGTTGTCCAAAATCAACTCCCAAACGGACAGAGACCTTTTCAAGCACTTGGGCTTCAAGCTCCTGCCTTGGTGCATCAAAAAGCTCTCTTTTTGTCTGCTTTTCGGCACCAGGAGTGTTGAGAACTTTGCTCTGCTCCGCCATTTTAATGGTCGTGTTCTTAAGCTCTTCCTGCAAATACCCATTAAAACCATCACCATTACAATTCACAATTCATAAACAAAACATACAATTTCTGCTCAAAAAATCATAACTTTTAGAGAGAGAATTACATTGGCCTTGAGCTGATTGATCATCTTTAATCTGAGAGCATCAATGGTGCCGTAGTTCATCCGAGACTCCAATGCGTCTTCTGGGGTTTTCACTAAAAACTATGCCCAGAAGACCCAGCTAATGAAAAGGAGATAAAAAAAATACTTGTGGTCATATACTCATAGTATGGATGACTCAATGTAACCCATGTGGTGAAAAACTATTAATCATGCTTATGCGGTGGGAGTTTGTAACCATATTGCAATTTTCATTTAAAGTCCGTCTGAAAGTAGTACACGAGACACACAAAAAATGGAAAATACCTATAAAATGACATTTTAAAACCATGCACGAGAGCCTCATATGCAATTTTTGAACGAAATTTGAACAAAAATCTCACAGAGGCGGTAAAAAAAGCGCTTCCTATAAACAGATAGACCATAAAAAATGAGATTATCCAATATATAAACTTTTACCACTGAAACCAGCTGATCAATCTATTACTGCATTACAATATCAGATTATTGCTGAAACTTTTGATATCAAAGAATAGTGTAATGTAATTTCCGTTCTATCCTTTCACTGAATATACAAATGCCATACACTCCCTAATTCTTGTTGTCTTTGTATGGATACTTGGATCGTCATCGCAGCTGGTTGATTTGCAGTCAAATACAGGAAGTTTGATGTCTGGACATGCAGCACAGATTCAGCCTAGGCAAAGATACGCAGGATTGTACTTGAAATTTCAAAACCCGTTTTAGTTGTCATCTTCATCTTTATCCAAGCACGCTGATAAATAGCTCAGGATGAAGCCATCTAGATCTCCCTCAAGGACAGAATCGGGATCTGAGACTTCATAGTTTGTCCGAAGATCTTTCACCATCCGGTATGGCTGCATTAAAAGTAAGAATGGAAGTTAGTCTGACTTAGGTTCTTAACGTTATTGGTGATGGTGAGAAGAGTTGTGTGCGGCTAGTGCTAGAGCATACCTGGAGTACGTAGCTGCGAATCTGGCTACCCCAGGTTATGTCTGTAAGAGATTGTGAATACTGTGCATTCATCTTATTCTGGCGTGCCATCTCAAGCTGGTCTACTCGTGACTGAATAACAGCCATTGCTGAAGCCTTATTCTGATGTTGTGATCTGTACATTGAAGAAAAAAGAAACTCCTTGATTAGGATGACAGTTGACGACTCTTAGTTCCAAAAATATTAAGTGAAAAATGTGTGTTGAACACCTCTCATTTTGACAAGTAGCAGTAATTCCTGTAGGAACGTGAACAATCCTCACAGCACTATCGGTTGTATTAGCATGCTGGCCTCCAGCTCCCCCAGAACGAAATCGCTCAATGCGCAGATCAGATTCATTAATTTGTACATGCTCAGATGCATCTCCCAGGATTGGAGTCACAGCAACAGCAGCAAATGAAGTGTGTCTGCGCTTATTACTGTCAAAAGGTGAGATCCGTACCAACCTGTGCACTCCTACTTCTGCTTTGGCATATCCAAAAGCATACTCACCATCAACTTTGATTGTTGCCCGCTACAAGAAAGGTTGATCTGAAGTTAGAAAACTAGCATAATCTTCAGTTTAGGGCTTTACTGCAATATAATCAGGGTGGGATGGTGGATTTCCAAATGCTTGGGATAGGCTAATTTCATTTACTTTACTGTGCAAATTATTGCTACAGATGTTGTTTGGATCCATTCACAAATAGAAGGATCGGTGGATAAGAAGATGAACCTTGATTCCTGCAATCTCACCAGGCATTTCATCCACCAGAGTCATGTTATATCCGCGTCGTTGAGCCCACATTTTATACATCTGCATGACCATTGCTGCCCAGTCATTGCTCTCTGTACCCCCAGCTCCGGCTTGAACCTACATTGGACGAAACTATCTAAGGCTCTGCTTGGCATAGATCAATCACAACTATGGTATTTTTCACCATGATAGCATCTATATAATAAGTAGAAAATATCAACAACTAGTGCCAATACATGAATCAAAGAATATGGGAACTGTTGATGCAGAAAGCACGATTCATATATGAAACGGACCTCAATGTAACATGAGCAAGGATCCTGCTCCCCAGCTAACAAAGCTTCAATCTCTTTCTCCTTTGAAGTTCTTCTCATATTGAGCAAAGCGTTCATGGATTCCTGCATATGGGAATCCGTATAACTAACTAAAAAGCACAATGCATGCTGTTCTCGAGTACCTTATTACTTTAAAGAAAGAAATAAACTTTATGTTAATGATTCAACATCTAACCATCCTTCTTTGCATCAACATAGACTGTATAGTGTTATAGATTGATTCTACATTCTCCATTAACAATTAATGTTACATGTACGTTTTTCCTAGTCAGTGAAAAACAGATACTAGTATGGACTTTTCACTATTTGGCATACACAACAAACTAATTATATAGTTCGAAGCATAAGTTCAGATAGCAGAGAACATCATACATTAAATCTATTATAACCAGTGAATAAAACATCAACTTGGTGCTAATTATTCAAGGCAGCACAAGCCATGAAATAACATGCCTATGAGAAGTATTGAAGGCCCACCGATTCCAGCTCTGCGTCATTCTCTTCACGGGCAAGCTTTACCATGTCTACATGCTCAAGCAATTCCCGCTCAAATGCCTGCACTTCTTTCATTTTACCCAAAAGAGACCCATGCTCACGGCTTATCTTCCCTGCGTGTACAGGATCATTCCACAGGTCTGGCTTATTCACCTCCGCTGATAACATATCCAACCTAACCAGCAGCTTCTTCCACTGCCACCATAAAAACATCTACTTAAAATTTAAGCAGAAACGGTCGTACACAATCCAAAACAGAAATTCATTCAGCATTTACTAACACGTATGAACTTCAAAATTAAGCCGAAATATGTCATACAATCTAGGAACTAGACATAAGGGCAGTTTGATTCAGCATTTATCAAAGGAACAAAACATACGGGCTGTTTGGGAGTGCTTCTCTGGGAAGCGCTTCTACTAATAAGCTCTTTTGTTACAAGAAACACGTTGAAATTTTAATGAAACCACGTGCTTCCTGAAAAGGCACTTGGAAGTGCTTCCTGAAGCACCTAGCTCCAGAAGGTGCTTCTACGAGCCAGAAGCACTTCTAAGTTTTTTAATGCCAAAACGGTTCTATAAGCCTTATCAAAGAATTGAATCCCTAACATAAGCAAACAAAATTATGCTTCTAAATAAAACTCATTAATTAGCAGAAAAACATGATAAAATGATCGCATTTCAAATTGTACCTGCAAACGTTTCTTAATAAGATGAATGGACTGTGCAATTGCAGCAGCATGACTCTTCCAATCACTCTCATCCTCATCCAGAATCGGCCACTCACTAGCAATGATTCGATCAACCGTCAGCCCGTCACACGTCGACGGCTCCACAGCAGCCTGAGTACCAAACAAGCAAACCAACCCGAACCTGCCGCGACCCGAATACAAACTTTTCACCGTTGGCAGCCCCAATACACCACACCCGCTGATATTTTTCCCTGAAGCAGCATTTCCAGAGCTTAAAGCAAGAGGCTTGGAGCCCGAAACGAAGATACTACTCGAAAAGGTGGGATTTTGGAGGGACCCGGATGGGGTTTTTGAGGTATTGTGAGAAAATGAAGAGATCCCAGAATCCAGAATATTGCGTCTTTCAATTGGATTCGGTAAATTCTGAGGGTTTGAGGGTTGATTTACATTTCTGGGTTGGGATTCAGACAGAGTAGAGAAAAGCAGATTGTGGAAAAAGCGGCTTTTGGCTTCTGGGTTTGGGCAGAGAAGCTGCCAGGATCCACTACGACTTGCTCTCCTTCTGAGCATGAAAGATGACATCTTTTCTGATGTTTGAATTTGTGGGGTTTAACAGAAACTCCAATTGAGGGTTTTCACAGGAGCTTCTCGAGTCGAATTAAAAGTTGAAACGATGCCGTTTTGAAAATATTGTTGCCATTTGTTGACGAAAATGCCCTTCCCTCGTCCTCTCCTCTCCCCCCAACCCCCAACTGTATTGTTCGCCCCCAAAGCCTTCGTCTTTCTCAGCCGCCGCCGAGCCACCATGTCAGCCCCACACGACGCCGCAAATCCCAGTTCCCAAGATGCGCTACAAACCCCAGTGAACTACCCCGTGCCCCTCTCCCCGCCTCTTCCCGCCATCTCAAAGCACATAGAGCTAGCGAGAGCCATGTCCGCCTCTTCCAAATCCAGCCTCTTCTCCCTCTCGAGAAACGACGTCGTCTACGAGGACGAGTGGCTCATTGTGGTTAACAAGCCTCAGGGTGTTTATTGTGAGTCCGTGTTGGAATCGGTCCCTCAGCTTCTCTGTGACTCGGCCGAGTCAGGTGAGTCAGGTTAACTCTTCCATTTCTGGTCTGCTTGTTGTTTTCAAGTGCTTTTTCTCGTTATGTTGGCTTAGAAGTGCTTTTCTCACCACTATGACGAACACGACCTTTCCTTATTTTGAAATGTGCTTCTGATGATTGCTGGTTTGAAATGTGCTTCTGATGATTGCCAGTTTGAAATATTCCAATTCTTCAATCCTAATTAGTTTAAAATTCATGTAATCAATGGAAGTTAATTGGGATCAGGGCGTAGTTTTATTGTAGATTCTCCAAGCCAATTGGCAACAACTTCTGCTTATTCGAAAAGCCATAATCTAATTTAGGAAAAGCTTTCTGGTTCATTAGATATGGGAATACTGACTGCTTGCAATGGGCCGGAAATTTTGAGTTTGATTCCTGTGATCACATAGCGAGTCAGAAAACTTAAGGCAATAAGAGAAAGCCGGATTGTTAAGTGCAATGGGCCAGAAATTTTGAGTTTGATTCCTGTGATCACATAGCAAGTCGGAGAATTTGAGCCAGTAAGAGTGAGCCCGATTGTTAAGTGTAATATATGGCTCTCGTGAGTTTGATTCTATAAAATAGTGGGTCAGAACTATTAAACTCACACCAGTTCAATGACAATGTTCATAAACAAGAATCGAACTCATATAAACCACTATGGACGGTCTTAAACCCCATAATGGACAGAAAAGTGCTTCTTGGGAAAAAGTTGATTTTTGTTGCTCTTTCTTGGACACTGATTTAACTTTTGAGTTCAACTTATCAGTTGCAGAGACCCGAACAAAGCAGCCAGAGCTCCATCTTGCAAATCGACTTGATCGCGACACTAGTGGATTGATGATAATAACCAAGTCACACAAAGTAGCGGCCAAGCTTGTGAAGGCATTTACAGATCACAAAGTTTCCAAAACATACATTGCACGCTGTCTTGGTTCAGCTCCGAAATGGGAAAGAATCACCCTCAAGTCAGGTCATGGTCGGTCAAAGTTTGGCGTATGGCGAGTGTATGCTGCTTCAGACGTAGGTCGGACACTTCCAGGTGGGTCAATGGTCAGAGACATGGAAACATCGTTTGAAATTTTATCAGTAAATGGACAAGGGAGCTACGAAGAGCCATCTGAGTTTAAGAAAGATGAAGCAAATGTTGTAGTGGTTGAAGAGAAAGCTGTAATAGATGGAGACGCAAAGAAGGACGAGATTTTAGTAAGAGCCCGTCCTAGGAGTGGACGAACACATCAAATTCGCTTGCATTGCCAGTATCTTGGAATTTCCATAAGAGGGGATGTCAAGTATGAGGGTGTGTATGAGTGGAAAGGGACAACTTATGACAGCCATGAACTTCATGCGGAGAGCTTGTCTCTTGAGCACCCTGTTACTGGTCTTCCAGTAATGTTTCGGGCACCTGTACCTTCTTGGGTCAGCCAGGCGTTGCAGCACTAGTTAAGTTCAATGGTTCTGTGTTCAAAGCCTGGGTTTGAGAAGATCTCCCAATCATGGTTAGGTTTCATGCATAAAAGGAGAAATGTATGCCAACTTGATTTAATGCGAGGGGAACTGTAATTTCGAGACTTTTCCCTCTGCAAATATCTCCCGCTTCAACATGGTTACTTGCCATTGTCTGTGAAAAATGGTTTTGGGTTTGATGCCGAAGGCAAGCTTACCGAGGTCTGCAGTTGCCAGTGCAGCTTTCTCCTACCTTGCCGTTTGCTCCTTTGTTCGATCATACGTGGAGAATGGATTTGGGATTCAAATCATAAGTCATCAACTTTTGTAAGTAACAATTTACAAGGAAAATCTGTTGTACCATTTCTTCTCAAATCTCTCTCATATGATTTGATTTTGCAATTCTGCTTCTGTTTAAGTTGTTAAACTTCTCTCCCTTGCATATTTGGTACGACTCTGCCTTTTCTCTCATTGCCTAAGCTCTCACGTCCTTTTGTTTTTGTTAATGTGGGAAAACGAACCCTCCAACGTATCATAATCCTAACTCATTACTTGACTCTCTCATCATTTGGGCCAACTGCAAAGACTTCTTCAATACATGTTGACGTCCAATAAGCTCCCTCACAACATAGAACAACTCCTGTGCAAAACATTAGAGGGAAAACATACGCTTGCATTGACCAATCCGATAAGCTCTGATGTCCTTTTGATTTAGAATTAATCTGTGTAGTTAAAATTGTAGATTTCAGAGCAATATAGAACCATAATATGTAGAAAATTTCAATATGCCGAAAACACGGCCTAGTATACCACGTGTCATAATATAATTAATTAAATATTTATTTTAAGTATTGAAACTAATTGTATTATTACACTTAGTGTACCTTGTTGTGTTCCCACAGACTAAAAACATCTCTCGGTAGTGCTTTGGAAACAAAAAATTTAACTTTGAAAATACCATTTTCCAAGAAGTTCACGATCTGTTTTTTTTTTTTTTTTTTCCTTTTTCAATCATTAATTCATTGAATCCTGTAGCTGAAAAATTAACCATTTTTTATGACTGTTTCCACAATAAATTTAACTTTGAAAATACCATTTTCCAAGAAGTTCACGATCTTTTTTTTTTTTTTCCTTTTTCAATCATTAATTCATTGAATCCTGTAGCTGAAAAATTAACCATTTTTTATGACTGTTTCCACAATAAATTTAACTTTGAAAATACCATTTTCCAAGAAGTTCACGATCTGTTTTTTTTTTTTTTTTTTCCTTTTTCAATCATTAATTCATTGAATCCTGTAGCTGAAAAATTAACCATTTTTTATGACTGTTTCCACAATAAATTTAACTTTGAAAATACCATTTTCCAAGAAGTTCACGATCTTTTTTTTTTTTTTCCTTTTTCAATCATTAATTCATTGAATCCTGTAGCTGAAAAATTAACCATTTTTTATGACTGTTTCCACAATAAATTTAACTTTGAAAATACCATTTTCCAAGAAGTTCACGATCTGTTTTTTTTTTTTTTTTCCTTTTTCAATCATTAAATCATTGAATCCTGTAGCTGAAAAATTAACCATTTTTTATGACTGTTTCCACAATAACCACATAATGGTTATGTGGTTGAAGACGAATTTTAGACTCGTATTTCACCCATCACGTCCTAGGTTTGATTTCTGACATTAGTGAATCACACATGGTGGCAATAAGAAGATTGGAATGCTTCTATGAGTCTTCCCGATTCCTAAAAAGATAGACTGTCGTGGTAAAACTATTAGCTAGTCCCTTAAAAATAAAAAATAAAAATAAAAATAAAAAATATATATATATACACACACATATACATATTACCGTTTCAACATTGTTAGCAATATTCTACTAAACAGGGGGTAGAGTGCTTATTAAGTTTCAGATTAGTCTAAATTAGTAGGTGTCAGAATGTTTTGTAGTTGAGCTACTATTCTTAATTTTAACTTCTAAGAGTGAAAGCGATCAAATGCGTGACAGACTGATCTTGGTTGCATATATAATATTCAATTTTTGTTTTAATAATTTGTAAAGCAAAGACTTTCAAGGCTCAAGTGCGGTAAACGTGTTGGTTTTGTAAAATACAAACAAGAATTCTTCTCCCACCAGCCACCATTAAATCTGTGGACGCGAATTATGTCAATTGATAAGAGTATAATATCGCTTTTTGCATTTAAGTATCGTTTTGTCGAAAACTATAGTCGCTTAATAAAATGAGACTTGATATAGACTTTTTCTAAGTTATCTTTTTGTTGTATATATAAATGTTTCTTTACTGTAATTTGAATTTATTTGGTATTCAAGTTAGCATCACAATGTGCATTAAAATCAATTGCGTGCAGATATTATAAAGCTTCCATAAAAAAATTGGTAAGTAATCCTTCTTCCTTTGGACTTTGTTTGGTACAACACCGACTGTGATTTTTCATAACTTAATTGAAATGTTTCTTCTGATATTAAATCAAATAAAGGTGCAAGTTACATTAGCATAATAAGAAGATAATATTTAACACAATATCAGAGGTCATGGTTGCTTGCTTTCCAAGGTAGTACGAAATAGTGCTGGTAAGTGAACGAAGGACAGACTGGACTGAACTATTCCCTAGTGCTTTTCCTTTTGGAGGTTAATTTTATTAAATTTGGAGGTGGTGTTACTACATATAAGGCCATTTAACTTTGCTATGTTAACTATGAATTACCAAAAGTAACTTCAACATTTTAAAACAAAATTGGTTTCAATCATCCTTCACCTCAAAGACTTTTGGCCTCATTTAAATGAAAAAAAAATATTCAATAGAGCTGTTTAATTTATATTTAGTAAGACCGTGTCAACTAAGTGCATAAATTTAAAATACAGAAGATTTCATACTTTTGTTTGATGTGCTCTATAAATAGAAAATCTTATGTTTTAGTAAGACAGTGATTAGCATAAATGTGAATTTTGTGATTTATATCAAGTAATTATTGAGCTGGTGCTGATTTGGCCAACTCTATCCATCAACGAGAAAAAGGTGTCCTTAGGGACAGGGACAACTCTGAGCCTATGACAAAACTAATACCAAATAATCAAACCAACCAGTTGTGCCAGTCCAAGGTATATATAAGAATCTTCCCCCAATTCCCACCTGCCTTTCAAACCAGCAAGCTTTATAGCTTTGCAGATTACAATCCCCATGCAGTGCAATGATAATTTTAGAGTACACCAGATATTGAGAAACTTAACGGTTTAGATGTGCGCTCGAGAATTCAAAGAAATTTAACAAGCGGATGTGATCTAATTAAAAAACATAATACACTGTACATTGTTGTATAGTAGAAGGACTCGTGATCCAAACCCACTAGGATATCGTTTGGATTTGGATAATTAATGCAGTTGTAATATATTATTAAGATTACAAGGGGCTGCAGTTCAAACCCACCAAGCATTTTTCTTTCCTTTGCCATAAAATATCTCAGATATACCAAGAAAATTATTGAAGGAAGCAATTGTTGTGTGTGAGATTTTGGAAGATGGGTTTGCTCAGTGAGGGACTGACGCAGGTTGTGATTCCTTTGGGTGCGGTTGTGGGGCTTGGTTTTGCTTTGTTGCAGTGGTTTTTGGTGTCAAGGGTGAAGGTCTCAGGTGGGCATGGTGAGCGAAATGGGTACAAGGACAAGCTCATTGGAGACGAAGAAGAGGGTGTTAACTCTCTTGACGTTACCATCAAGTGTGCTGAGATCCAGCATGCCATTTCCATTGGTGATCTCCCTCTCTCTCTCCTTTCTCTCTCTCTCTCTCTTTCTCTCTCTCTCTAATTCTTGTAGTTGTTTTACATTTTTTTTTACCATTTCATACCAGTATAAGCTGCATCCTAATACAATATGTCTGTTCTTTAAGCAATAAGAATCCTCGCTGAAGGTTTCGTCGCTAAAGCATCATTTTGTTATCAGATCACACCCAGAAAAGAATGAAAAACACAAAATATGCTTTTACTACCCTTTTAATGTGTTTGCTGAAAATTTAATCCTGTGTTTTTCATTTTGTTGTATACTCATCACAGACTGAAAAGAATAAAAAACCATGTTCTTGCTTCCCTTTTAATTTTCCGGCGGAAGTTTTCGTCACTAAAGCATCATTCAGTTGGTGATTTGTGATCACACCCTGAAAATAATGAAAATTTAGTACTTGGTACCTTTTTAATCTTCCTCGCGGAAGATTTCCTCGCAATAGCATCTGTTGTACGGATCACTGATCAAACTTGAAAAGAATGAGAACTATGTTGCTGCACTTCTGTGACAGTAAATTTTAAATCTAACTTTTGATTCGTATAATGTTTCTAGGGGCGACCTCTTTTCTGTTTACCCAATACAAATACCTCAGCATCTTCGTTGGCGTTTTTAGCGCCATCATCTTCCTCTTCCTTGGCTCAGTGAAGGGTTTCAGCACCAAAAGTGAACCCTGCACATATAACACAGGCAACATGTGCAAACCGGCACTAGCCAACGCCTTCTTCAGTACCGTTGCCTTCTTGCTCGGTGCTTTTACATCTGTTCTCTCTGGCTTTCTTGGGATGAAGATCGCAACGTATGCCAATGCCAGAACAACCCTAGAAGCAAGGAGGGGTGTTGGGAAGGCTTTCATCACCGCTTTTCGCTCGGGTGCTGTGATGGGGTTCCTTCTTGCTGCCAATGGACTTTTGGTGCTGTATGCGTCTATAAACCTGTTTAAGCTGTACTATGGTGATGACTGGGAAGGACTGTACGAGTCAATTACTGGTTATGGACTCGGAGGTTCTTCAATGGCACTTTTTGGAAGAGTCGGGGGAGGCATATACACGAAAGCAGCTGATGTTGGTGCTGATCTTGTTGGGAAAGTTGAACGAAATATCCCCGAAGATGATCCACGAAACCCTGCTGTAATTTGCTACATCTCCCTTTTGTACTATGTTTTTTTGCCCGTTTGTTTTAGATTTCCCAAATGCAGAGCATCACATTTGGCCTATTGAGAATTAGTCGTACTTTTTTTTGTTAAACGTAGTCAGAAGTGCTTTTTAGTTGTATGAGCGCTTTTGGTTTTGTGTTTCTTTTTCAGGTTATTGCAGACAATGTGGGTGACAATGTAGGAGACATTGCCGGGATGGGATCTGATCTGTTCGGATCTTACGCTGAGTCATCTTGTGCAGCATTGTTTGTTGCATCCATATCATCCTTTGGCATCGGTCATGACTACACCGCTATGTCGTATCCCTTGATCATAAGCTCAATGGGGATTGTGGTTTGTTTGATAACAACCCTTTTTGCAACCGATCTGTTTGAGATCAAGAAAGTCAGTGAGATCGAACCCTCCTTGAAGCGTCAACTCATTATCTCAACCATCTTAATGACTGCTGGGATCGCCGTGGTCACTTTTGTAGCTTTGCCATCAGAGTTCACTCTCTTCAGCTTTGGAACCAATAAGACTGTCAAGAACTGGTATGCCTCTTTATATCCCCAACTTCTGTTCTTCCCAAGTAATTCTTCGTTGTGACTGTTACACCATCACGGTCTTATCAATTCACTCATGTGATAACACGTATCCATTTATTAATTCATCGTTAATTTGAATTACGTGCTGCAGGTACCTCTTCTTTTGTGTAGCAATTGGCTTGTGGGCTGGTCTTGTTATCGGATACACTACAGAGTATTACACTAGCAATGCTTACAGGTGATCCGATTAATTTCCTATTAGTTGTGATTAATATAACACTAGAAATATTGTTGTTCATCAAAACCCTGATGCTGATTAATATGTTTGATTTGCAGTCCGGTACAGGATGTGGCGGATTCTTGCAGGACTGGTGCTGCAACAAACGTGATTTTCGGGCTGGCTCTTGGTTACAAATCAGTCATCATTCCTGTGTTCGCCATTGCGTTTGCTATCTACGTTAGCTTTAGTTTGGCTGCCATGTATGGAATTGCTGTGGCTGCTTTGGGAATGCTCAGCACCATCTCCACAGGTCTTGCAATTGATGCTTACGGCCCAATAAGTGACAATGCTGGTGGGATTGCAGAGATGGCCGGGATGAGCCACGAGATACGCGAAAGAACAGATGCTTTAGATGCTGCTGGAAACACAACTGCTGCTATTGGCAAGGTAAAACAAAACTAGGCGCATTCTCGGATCCTGAAAGGGAAAATTTACTTTCTCAAGACGCATTCTGAAAGTATGGTGATTTGTATCCCTTATTTCGATTTTGACATGTTTTCTTGTATGTCTCAGGGTTTTGCTATTGGATCGGCTGCTCTTGTTTCTCTTGCTTTGTTCGGTGCCTATGTCAGCAGAGCCGGAATAGAGACTGTTGATGTGTTGACGCCGAAAGTCTTCATTGGCCTGCTTGTGGGAGCTATGCTTCCCTACTGGTTTTCTGCCATGACAATGAAGAGCGTGGGAAGTGCAGCGCTTAAAATGGTCGAAGAGGTTCGCAGGCAATTCAACACAATTCCAGGGCTCATGGAAGGAACAGCAAAGCCAGATTACGCAACATGCGTCAAGATTTCCACAGATGCTTCCCTCAAGGAGATGATCCCACCAGGCGCTTTGGTCATGCTTACACCACTCATTGCCGGCACCTTCTTTGGAGTTGAAACTCTTGCCGGGATTCTTGCTGGTTCACTTGTTTCCGGTGTGCAGGTAAAGTAAACCTTTCTCGTGCTGTAGATTTTGAATTTCTCACACCCTTCAGTTGGATTTACCGGCATTTGCTAAGACGCGTCTCCCTTTGTTTTGCTCCACAGATTGCCATTTCTGCTTCCAACACTGGAGGGGCATGGGATAATGCAAAGAAATACATAGAGGTAAGCACGCTTTTGCGCTCGATTGAGCTTCAGTTGTTGTTAGAATGCGAGCATCCAACCCAAAACCAATCATGCACATTCTAATAACCCGCTATGTTATACCTGCAGGCCGGCGCTTCAGAACATGCTAAGTCACTAGGTCCCAAGGGTTCGGATCCCCACAAGGCGGCCGTCATAGGCGATACGATCGGAGATCCGCTCAAGGACACTTCAGGTCCTTCGCTCAATATTCTGATCAAGCTCATGGCTGTTGAGTCCTTGGTGTTTGCTCCGTTCTTTGCAGCTCATGGAGGCCTCCTCTTCAAATGGCTTTGAAAATGGAGTTGCAAATCAAGTTAACCGCGGTATATGTGTTAATAAAGATGGAGCTTTTCACTTTAATTCCCAATTTTACTAGAACTATGTATGTGCATGTTACTCTATGTTGCATATCAATATATATATGTATCCACAATCATATTTATCAAAAAAATTTCTTTTGTCAAAATAATATTTTAACTTCTTTAGTGTATACAAGAAATGTTGCTTTTTTGTGATTGAAAGATCACAGAGTCATGAAAGCAGTCTCATTGTAAAGCAAGGGTGAAGCTACGTACGAAATACGTCACCCCTCTTAGTGTGTGACCCTCGCAAAGCAGAGAGCCTTGTTGGCTTGGGTCGCCCTTTTAACATTATCAGGTTTTGACTTTGAGTGTTGAGAGGAGAGAAACTTAGCTACATTATGAGTGTCATGGTGGTGATATTCGACCTTTTCATGTGTTATAAAATGTTTTTGTTTTTTTACGTAACGATGTGTGAAAACTACTAATGAGACATTCAAGATGATAAGAGGAAGTAATTTTTCCGGACTAGGTGCTCACATTCCATGTTTAAGGATGGGCCAATCAATATTAGGTCATGGCCAACTCTAATTAGTGTTAATTAAGGTTGATGGACCAAGAAGTAACTTCCATACAAAGGCTAAATTTTTTATTAACTAGGAATCTAAACTGATGATCATCTTTTTCAACGTTGAAAAGAGAGATAACATAACCAGTTGCCGACTTCTTTCAACAGTGAAAAAGAAAAGTAATACGACCAACTGGCAACCTCTTTCAACGTTGAAAAAAGAAGTAACACGAACAACGTTAATTTTTGGCCGAAAACGTCAGTTAGGTTACTTGAAAACAAGAGTAGATCAATTCAAAAGCAATAACCATGATAAGCACAAATGCAAATCATGTAGGAAGGCTAACTCTCTGACCATTTCATATCATTAAAGTTAAACGAGCCTTGAGTGACTTCCAATCCAAGCATCCAAGGAATTGCACAGCAGAACACAATGAGTGCCGTCCCACTATGAAAATTCATATATTTAAGCCTACAACAAGTTTATCTTATGGTATGGAGGTATGTGCCTTTTTCTATGTTTTTGTCCTTAGCAAGGTCACAATCCCACTTATTTTAGTATATATCCATATGGGAAAGCTTTCTTTTTTAAATCAAAAGCAACAAGGTCATTAGATAAACCTTCAAGCCTAAAGTGGGTAAACTACGAAAGCAATCATAGGTTAGACGTTAAGGGCATTCACTTTTACATTTGATCCTTCGAGCTTGAATTTTTCGCAATCCTAATACTATTTATGTAAAAGAAAAAGTAAATTATAGCAAACAAAAAGCGTACAAACAATTAAACAGTAAACATCATTAGAGCTTAGGTATTACAGTAGTCAAGTTCGAACAACCCATATGTTGAGCTTTTCTTTTCTTTTTTTATTTTTTTTGGTGAAAAGATTTTCTTATCTTTTTCATGAGGATGGAGCTATAAAAAGAAGCTACTTACTTTTTCCTCGATTTATTGAAATTAGATTTTTGTAATTAGTGTGTTTATTTAGGAAATGTGATTATATAAACTTAATATAGAATTCCTACGAGGGTTTGGGTTTTGTGTTACTTTTAGGCAAGAAAGTTCATCATGAAATAAAGATACAAGACCAGGGATGAACAGTGAACACATAGTTTTCATAAACCTAAGCTTTTCCTTTTCTTTATCGCCCCTCTCTCGCCCAATCTCAAAGTTAGCTTTACAACAAATCATCCATTTATTTTTCTTTATATTTCATAATACTTTTTCTTTTCGATAGTTGTTTACACTAGCTTATTTGAATATCAATCGTATTTAAGATCCGTTGATTTTTACAAATTTTACAATCAACTAACTATAATAATTTTCCTTTAAGAAACAATCTAACATTTCAAACTGCAAATCGTGACTATATTAATTCATATTCTAACACAATAACTAGGAGAAATGTTACATCCAAATACAAAGTCAATGAATTCTGATCCAGTCTTGAATATTCCAGTGTGGAAACGTAAGACTTTGATATTGTCAAATTACGATGTTATATGATATTACTAAAATTCGATAGTCCAAAGACATTGTCAAACAATACAAAAGTTTAATCATAATTTGTGATTTGTTTACCCCAATCCTAGTCTCCTATAAGTATTATAAGTATTAAGATGTTTTTAGATGAGAGATTTTTCAGCGTGTTGAGACATGGCTTCGTACATTAAGGGTCTATTTGCTAGGCCGATTGAGATAGGTTGTGACCAATTAAAATAAAGTTTGTAATGTCAAAATGTGATATTGATAGGACTGAACATGATAGGTTATGAATTCATAATAGTGTGTGTTATCTAACTAATCTTATACACAAGTTACAAGTCCTGTTTACAAAGCCTAATTAATCTTTGTCAATCCAATCTTATCCCTAAAGTTCAATCTCATTCAGCCCACCAAATGAGCCTTAAGTTTCATAACACAAGTGGTTGGATATATAAAAAAAATAAATTTTCTAACCATTCGTATTATAACACTTAATGTACGTGTTTGCGGCACATTAAAAAAAAAAAATTTTAGTGGGCCAAATTCCAGACCTTTTACAAAGTTACCAACCTAAGGCATTTCCGTAAACTCCCAATTCCTCCAACCTACGTGGCGCACCCAATTGCTGCAGCGCAAAATTCAGTGAGGGACCAATAAGATCCCGCCACCTCAGGCCAATGACAAGACGAAACCACGTGGCGAGTTTCTATTGGTCTCGTCTTCCAGCGAGGACTCTTACCCCAAGATAAAAACCACTGCTGTGAAAACCGATTATATATAACAGCCCTGCAGGGATCGAGCTTCCTCATCAGTCTCTGTAGCTGCAGATTCTCTCAGCGTGGAAAACGATGGCGTTTAGGGTTCGAAACAACTCGAGCTTGCTGTCCCTGGTCCTTCTCTCTCTCCTCGCCATAGCCTCCGCCAAGGTTTTCTTCGAAGAACGCTTCGAAGGTATACATACATCTCTCTTTATGTTTCTTATCTATAGGTGTACGGATTATTTGATGTCGTCGGTTTTTGGTTGCATTTTCTATTGATTAGAGTTTTAGAGGTTTTGTGTGCGGTAATTGAGTTGAATCAGATGTCATTTCTGGAGGATCGGTGTTGGTTATGAGTCTGCTACTCGATCTGATTGTGTTCGTGGTTAATGTTTTATGAATACTGTTAGTGTGAGTTTAATTGACGGTTTTCAATTGGATCTGCTAGAAATTTGATTAAAGTTTGAATTTTCAACTTGATTTGTGGTTTCGGTTATGTTTTCGAATCGAAATCTTTGGGTATTGATGTATCTGTGTGTGTATATGATAAATGTGATCAGTGAAGTGTTTGCAAATTACAAAAAAATAGGGTTTAGGGTGATGTTAAAATTGATAAATGGTATTGAATGGAAAAAAAATCAATAATTGTAAGGTTTCCAGTCCAATTTCAGTTCAAGGATGTTGCATTCGCTGTTTTCAATCTGTGGTGTCACAGGTTGTTAAGCTCGTATATGATTTTGAACAGAATTAAAGCTAAATCTCATCCGTTCCGTTAAATTGATATTCTATTGTTGCTCTATCCATTGGTTGGCTCGAGACTCGTTTCTTTCTGCTGTTGAACTTGTCAATTATTAGTGATGTTGCAATCTTGACAGAGTTTGATTGGTAGGAGCTCGAAAAGGCATAGATTTTTGCCTGATACAGTAGTAGTCAAAGTGGGGCAGGCGTAGAATGTCAAATGGTATCATGCGTAGGTCAAGTAGTATTAAAAGGGTCTTTAAAAAGTGAAGAAGCTTACTTCTCGTGTACATTTAACATGTTTACTTCTCTGGTTCTTTACTTTTTACTGTTTCCAGTGATCTTTTTTGCTGTTCTATTGTCCTGATTTTTTTTTCTCTTGTTTCTTCTGCTATTTCTCAAATACTAAAAGACGGATGGGACAAACGTTGGGTTAAATCTGACTGGAAGAGAGATGAGAGCCTTGCCGGAGAATGGAACTACACCTCTGGCAAATGGAATGGAGATGCTAATGACAAGGGTATCTGTTTATAACCAATTCTGTCTCTTGTATTAATGTTATCTGCAGATTTTTTACTGTGTTCATTGCTTTATTTTTTATATTGTGAAGATCGTCCTGATGACCAGTTTCGATGACTTTAACATCTTGGTACAGGTATCCAAACAAGTGAGGATTATAGGTTTTATGCCATTTCAGCTGAGTTCCCTGAATTCAGCAACAAGGACAAGACCCTAGTGTTCCAATTTTCCGTGAAGCATGAGCAGAAGCTTGACTGTGGTGGTGGCTACATCAAGTTACTCAGCGGCGATGTTGATCAGAAGAAATTTGGCGGTGATACCTCATACAGGCAAGTGATATCCCCATTTGATCTGACTGTTTCGTTATCGTTGCATCAATCTGTTTACCTCATTTAATAATTTCTGACATGGTATATAAACTTTTATGGTTTGCAGTATCATGTTTGGGCCAGATATCTGTGGATACAGCACCAAGAAAGTTCACGCAATTCTTAACTACAATAACACAAATAACTTGATCAAGAAGGACGTCCCTTGTGAGACTGATCAGCTTACTCATGTTTATACCTTTGTCCTCCGCCCAGATGCTACCTACAGCATCCTTATTGACAATGTAGAGAAACAAACTGGCAGCCTCTACAGTGATTGGGATCTTCTGCCTCCAAAGAAAATCAAGGATCCCGAGGCCAAGAAAGTATGTACCCATAATTGAACTCTTGAGATATCAGTAAACTATTCATAACTGAAGTGGTGATTAACTAACTGTCTAATATCGACAGCCTGAAGATTGGGATGACAAAGAATACATTCCTGACCCCGAAGATACTAAGCCAGAGGTAGTCACGCATTTTATATACAAATCATCTATGCTTATTCTTTTTAACTAAATATACAAGCATGCTGACTCTCATTGTCTGTTTGTAGGGTTATGATGACATTCCCAAGGAGATAGTAGATCCCGAAGCCAAGAAGGTAATGATTTGACTTGGGTTTCCAAAATACTACACATGCACGGAAGAGTATTTTTGTTGCTCATTAACGTGATTTGGTGTTTCAGCCGGAAGATTG